CATGCCCACTACCAGTTAATAAATGACGACCCATGGCGCAGTGCGTAGTGTACCTGCCTCCTGTGCACTGACACAGTCAAATAATTTGTAAACATCAATATCAAATAATCAAATAATCAATATCATAATCAAATAATTTGTAAACATCGACAAATCGTTGATACTCAACTTTTAAAGTCGGTATCAAAGGCGTTGCATCTATCGACGTTAAACAAAAACGTCCCAATAACATTCGAACAATAAGGAATTCGTTTCATAAATGGAAACTATAACAAGGTTTGTCGAGACAGTCAATAAAGTCATCTATAGAAATGTCTATTTAATATAAATAACTGTCTATGACCCCAAGTTATCGGAGCGCGATGTAGAGACTGTTCTATCGTGGCAGATTTCCGATGATTAATTGTGTTATTTGTGATCTGTGCAAAGTGTCGTTTTGGATTAGTGAGGGGTAACAAATGCTTCAATGGGATCGGATAAAATATTTTTACTAACAAAAATAAAAGTGAGTGTGTACTTATGTTCGCACGTAAGAAGTTAAAGAAGTTTAGCGTATAACTTCACAACATAGAAAAGAAAAATTAATAAAAAATTTATCCACGTCAGTACCTCTTTGAAAATTTCAAAACTTACTCTGTAATTTTTTTCTTAACGCGCCAAAAAAAATATGACTTCAAAACCAAAAAGGCACAATATTCACAATATTCATCTCACTCACTATACACTTTTTTTGTTTGTCTCTGAGGAGTTTACCAATAAAATGAATATAGAATCACATGGGAAATAAACCAAACATAATACATAAATAATTATTAAAATAGGTTCATAATCGACCAAGTTTTGAGGTAATAAGCATAAAACAACTTTTTTCCTTTTTTGTATTTCTCTTTTCTTATCCTTTTTCGTAGTGTATTGAAAATTTTATTGAGTTCGATATTTCTCCCAATACTTTCATGCAATAAAGTGAATATATCAAAATTTGTAACGATAACTACGAGGTCAAGTATATTTGTTAACGCAAATGGAAGACACAAGTGCGTTTACGTAAATGTAAGCACATGATAATTATTAGTAAATATCCTATCCTATATTATTAGTATACTGGTAATTTTGGTTTAATAATCTCGATGAAACTTTGTGAGCATTAGCGGAATCACTATCTCTTTAGGGTCTTGCGTAATTATTATAGGCGATTAAATTACTTTCGTTCTAGAAATAGGTATGTCAATAAAATAAAAAACGACTGTACACAACACTCAAAATATACTTGGTTCGTAGTAGTTCGGAGCAATACTGGTCGGGTCTGTCGAACAACGAAGAAATAGAAAAAAAAATAAATGTCACATTTATGGCGGGAACGCACAGCCCTGTGGGAAGTGCAATCACCTTGTCATACTTTAGATAAATAGGCGAGAAATCGTTAAGTGTTGTATGCAAAACGGCTTACGTCATGGCAGCCAGCGGACTAATTGCATTGACGGGATAAGTGGCCCAGATATCTTCAATTAACAGACACCTACATCCAAAAGTGTTGAGTAACATTTATCAATGACTCCAAGAACGATACAATTATAACAATTTGACGACCCGAATGGCGTAGTGGGTTCGATCCCCACTACTGGAAACATATTGTGTGATGAACATAGTGTTTTTGCAGTGTCTAAGTCTTTATAAATTTATAATATGTATTTATTTACAATGGTAAAAAGTATGTTTAAGTATGTTTATCAGTTATCTAGTACCCACAGTACAAGCGTTACTTAGTTTGGGACTAGAGAACGTTGTGTAAAAATGTGTCTTGAAATATTTATAATATTTATTTCTTATTATTAAATACAGGCATGGTTAGATCATATGGGTATCCACTTTTGGATTCTAAGCCCAAACGTCCATTGTGGTCAATCGTCCAAAACCAGATACTTTTATGCCGGTTATTTACGTCTGAAACTCGCACGGAATAACCTTTCTGGATTTGCGCGGGCTAATAGGGTAACATGGTAACCGAGTGAGTTATAAATAGAGCCCACGCCGTTCACTATGTTTACGGACGTAGATCCTTTTTCGCTGCCATTTCGCGCCCCTTACTACGGTACTAGACTTCAAAGAAACCGCCCATTGTTATGACACGCCATTCCAATATGGCGGCGATGTAAACAAATATTATTTCATCGCCTCCCCCGAATGTATTGCAGTAGAGCGTTATGAATGGTGTTACCATCGGTTTTTATTTGTATCGGGACAAATCCCATTTATAAATATCCACACCCGTACGCAAAGGGTAAAAGGGGACCCTTACTAAGACTCCTCTGTCTGTCTGTTTGTCTTTCCGTTTGTCACCAGGCTGTATTTCATGAACCGTGATAGTTAAACAATTGAAATTTTCACAGGTGATGTATTTCTGTTGCCGCTATAGCAGGAAATACTAAAAAAATAGATTAAAAATATATTTACGTGGGGCTCACATACAAGAGATATTGATTTGTTGCCGTTTTGATAGTGCGCGAGTCCGACTCGTCTTGCAAATTTTTGCTTTTGTCATTTCAAAATGAACCTGGTTCCTTCATAGGGATCATTATTTGGGGACGAAGTGGATTTATAATTATATAAATTAAGAGGGTCTTGCAAATTTGCTGTCATGAAATGAATTTTTTGTGTTAAGGGGCACCTGATGTTTTTTTAGTTATTTTTATCCCCCCCTCCTCCGCCTTGGTGACACGCCATAGCGAAAATATCAGAACGCAGCGCAACTTGTGGCCACCGTGCAGACGCGCTATCGACGATTATAAATCGATTGTGTAAACAGAATAATCACCGTTGATGTCGGGCGTTCGCCGAGCACGCTTATCGACAGTGTGTCACGGAAATTGATGGCCCGTGAATCACTTCCTGCTCCTTCGGGGATATTTCTCGGTTTCGTCGAAAAATTAATGATTCGCCCCGACGGACTTGCAGAAGACGAAAATGGTTGAGAGTGGAAGCATCGATGCTTCGGCGTACCGTGTTACACACGGCGCGTCACGCACAGTTTAACGGTGGTAGAGCCACGCAGCAGCCTCGGCTGTTGCACGAATGTGCAGGCCCGTCCGGGTAAGTACCACGACCTCACAGAAGACCAGCGTAAAGTGGAAGTATGAAAAAAAAAAACTTATACTTTCAACAAACAAATACTTTCGCGTTTCGTCTGGTGAGTGAGGTAGCCGGAGCCCAATTTTCAAAAGGTTGTAACCCTGGGGTGTCCTGTGATGTCCATGGGCGGCGGTATTCATTTAACATCAGGTGAACCGTCTGCTCATTTGGCAACTTTTTACATTAAAAAAAAAAAACAGTTATAGCATGGTGGTGTTGGTGTAAAATGACGTTTCATAAGAACGCGCAAGCGTCTTTTGCCCGGTTCCTATATTCAACGAACGGCCGTTAGCTACGTAGCTTCGTAACTTTCATAACGACTTGTAGATTAAAGGAACGCTAGTAACTCACATTCCGTAGGTAATGCAATGGCTAGTCAGGAAAACGCCCCGTTTTATTAATACAGGAACCGGGCGTACACGCCTTTAAATTTTCCGAAGTCCTGCTGTACTATAAAAATCACCAGTGTTGTAAATAATAATTCCTGAAGATTCGCTATATTCCCTACATTACTCAAAGATAAATTATGAGGCACTGACGGGAAACTTAACCTGGACAAAAATTAACCTATCTCCAACTATTTGTAGACAAAACTAATCTCGGAGCAACGGGATTCGTAAAAGTAACCTAAACACAGTTATATTTATACACATAAGTAGTCAATCTTAAACTTTATAAATCTAAATGAAACTTTTATCGACATCTTCGAGAAAAATTCCACAAGTCCAACCATCGTAAATCGATGGGGGAGATTAAATAAATTGCTTCGTAGTGCGATAGAACCGACGCTCTAGTTAATTGCTGGTCTTTCAATTAGTGCGTTCTTTCACTGTATCAACATTACAAACGCACACAGTAATGGGCTGACAAGCGTCAGGGAGTAACGACGGTATTTTGTTTTAGGTCGCCTTATACTTTAGTGAGACTTAGCAGCTGATATATCAAGTCTAAACATTATTTATACGAAAAGCGGATCGTAGTAAAAAATTAAACAGAGCTTGACACGAAAAATGTAACACTTCTAAGAGTCTGACAGAGATGGAAAATGCTGTCGACATTTCGTGGGGCTAATTTACGTGACTCGTGGTGAATTATTTTTATTTGACATTACTGCCAGCGATGATATCGTTAGTTGAGTGCTGTAAAGAGACCGCATTCGCATTCGTGTATAATTTTAAGGTTGTACAAGTGTGACCCCCGACCAAAGACATCACACCATCCAAAAGTGCGTAGTAAGCCACCATTGGGTTCCCCACTTGATTATGAACAAGCTTATCGCACCCGCCAAGAAAGCTTTCTGCCGCGCACAACTTAGCGACTGAAACGGGATCTTCAAGAAGAAAGCCTACATTTTCCTCACAGGCCGACAACGCATTTGTGCCTCTGTTGTTGTGAGTGCCCATGGGCGGCGGTGATCACTTACCAACATGGCTGTCAGCTCGTTTGCCTCCTTTTTCCATTAAAAAAGTCTGTGTGTACTTAAGTACGCACGTAAGATGTTATACTTCTTTAGCTTGAAGATATTAAAAGCAATTGATAACGGTTTCAATAACTTTGAATTATTGCTAAATGTCAAAAAGTTGTTATTGGTTGCCAAGATTAAATTGGTTACTACCAAGCATCGTGTCGCTTTTTGAGGGTCGGTGTGCGGGCGTATCATTTTACTCTCATGATTTTCCCAAACGCACCAAAAGAAAAATAACTTCAAAAAAATTGGATCGGTAGCTTAGTGGGAAGTTGAACCAAACAATCGCCGAATGTAGTAAGTGGCATAGTAAGCCACCTAATTGTGGAACTCCACTTGTGTATAAGATCTATCGCATGGGTCAAGGAGCCAATGTCCGTATACTGCTCAAAAATAAATATGGCCTCACCAACTACGCCGACCGCGCTGAAAATGCACGCGCAAGCGGCCGCCATTATCGTGGCCTCCCGGGGGTATATCGTCTCCAGGGTCGTGTTCTGCATCAGCCCCTCCATGGTCGTCTTCGAACTGTGCGCCCACTTCACTGGTTAATTCAGAACTTCAAGTGCAATCGACAACGAGCCGCCTCCTCACATTTTATCGTTTAAATAACACGATATGGATTCTTTTCGCGCTTCGAACGCTCGCGTCTGTTATCCTTCGGAGTTTAGTGCCGCATGCCGAACTGCAACAAAGGAGATTGGTTCACGGGGCTGGTTGAAATAAAGAAAACAAACAAACAAACAATGGCGTGTGGAGATTTGGTACGTTTTTTGTTAAACCGTTTACGGAAGCGAGCCAGTGATGTTTCGCCGTTAAAATTTCGCGACACGTTTGAGGAAATCTAAAAGAATATGTTAAGAAAGAAAGTTAATAATAAAACATTGTACACATACGAATATATGTTCGACTAAATACATTCTAATTATAAAAGCAAACTAACAAACATTTAGACGTCCAGTCAGTCAGTCAATCCCGTGACAACGAACGGTGAGGCTTCGTAACGCCGGGAAATAAAATTAAAAATAAACGCGAAAAATATGCAAATATATTTTCTTTTAGTACCCACATCCTTTTTCGCAAATAATGTACACATCGAACTCCAGGTATGAGACACTGAAAGCGATCATGGATCATATCAAAAGTATTTAGGTACTTAGCGAATGCGTTTACAATCTACTATAACTGCCATAACATCGACAATATCCAGTCCGTATACAAAAATATAAACATCCGATATTTATACGATGACAATTCTTCTGTATTCAACAACAACCGAAGACATTTTTAACCTACATACACGGCATAACAGCTACGTTTCTTGCCATGCATCAAGTAAACCATTATAATAAATCCGTATTAGCATCACGATTGAGGTTTTTTCTGCCAACTTGTTCACCGACACAGTTACGAGCGTTCCGCATGTCGAGGAATCATTATTTACACAACCGATCACATAGCCTATTAATTCAACGCAAATATGTTGATATTTAAATTTCTTAAACTAACGCAAATACCCTCCATTTCCAAAGACGAAAGATGGCAACAAACTTATTTTTCAAATTAAGCAATAATAAAATTTAAATTTACATGTAATAAACACCTGGCACAAGTTTTGATACAACCATACATGTGTAACAGTTTTAATTTAAGTGCTGAACATTATGTGATATTGAACGACCATTGAGATTCACAAGTATTTGTCATCATCTTCTTATCCTTTAAACAAGCAATTCTTGTATACAAGAATTGCTTGTTTATATATATATATATATATATATATATATATATATATATACTAGCTGCTGCCCGCGACTACGTCTGCGTAGAGGGGTGAAAATTTAGGGTTGTATGTATTTTTGTATGCTGTGTCATAAAAAATAGAAGTTTTATATAAAAAATAAAAAAAAATTTAGGGATGGACTACCCCCTTAACATTTAGGGGGACGAAAAATAGATAGTAGCCGATTCTCAGACCTACTGAATACGCATATAAAATTTGGTAAAAATCGGTCCAGTCGTTTCGGAGGAGTTCAAGTTCGAACCCCGTGACACGAGAATTTTATATATTAGAGATAATCGGAATCTCGGAAACGGCTCCAGCGATTTTCATGAAATTTAGTATGTGCGTAGATACGGGGGCGAAAAATCGATCTAGCTAGATTTCATTTTTAGAAAATGTCCTTTTATCCCTGTTTTCAGGGAATGAAAAATATAATTCGAATATGACAGTAAATTTCGCCGCAAGAGAAAATGTCATAATAGCTCGGTCGGTAATCGGGCGGCCCCAAAACAGACGGCCGTGGTTCGCGTCACGATCATTTACACATTTATTTTTTTACTTTTTTCGATTCCAGATCATTGCTTTCTTTATTTTTAATTTTTTGTCGATTTGTTATTTTGTTATTTTCCGTTTTTTTTAAAGTTCTTTCTTTTGTGAAAAACATCAGTTCATATTTTCTTATTATTACGTCGGTAAGATCGAAAAATATTATGCATATTTCATTACTCAGTAATTTGTATCTAAATGTAATTTCCAAAATACACCATTTACCAAAAAAAACAACAAACCGAGCAAAGCTCGGTCCTCCGGGTACTTTTAATAATATGTAATAATATGAAACATTAAAGAACAACCTTTTATATGACTGTAAATTTTAATAGTATCATATTTAACATATTAATTTAAACTTTTTTTTATTTGTCTTTATTTTTTTTAAACATATTGCCCTTACTTTAGGATAACTTTATCCTGTGTTGTATGGGCGTTTTACAAACACAAATTTCACGCGGACAAACACCCAGATGCGAAACAACTATCTGTGGGTCACACATATAGTTGTCCAGTGTGGGAATCGAACCCACGACCCCCGACGCCGAAGCCGATACCATGGCCACTGCGCCACGGAGTCATCTAGTCTTAAATAGACAAAAAAATTGCGGCAATATCTTAACCAAGGAACAGCCATCTTGTTTCCGTACTAACGTCACGTTTGATGGACGCTAACGTTTGAATTTGGGGAAAATGGCCTACGGTGGGGTAGGCGATCCGTTTACTCTGGCACTTGGTACACCGTCCAAAATTTACTGCCCACAAACCAGGGGAATTAACAGAGGAGCGCTGTGTACGCGAACGACTTTTCCGAAACCATTCGTAACGATCTATAGATTCGCAAAAAGGAATACAGATAAAATATGCACGTAAATTGGGACTAATGTTTCAATGGAATGTGAATACAATAAATTGTTTGTAAATAATTTCTTCAAAAACTTACGTCGTGAAAATATATACGCTATATATAAAAAAATATCTGTACTCTGAAAATATATCTGTAAATATGGCTGTACGCTGGCTGTACGCGCGACGTCGTCTGCGTGCGATTTAAAAAAATAAAATGAAAGTAGGTAGCCTGAGTTACACTCCTCATTACATTACCTGTCAGCCAGTAAAAGTCCCGTCAAAAAAGCCGTACATATAGACAAAAATAGTAAAAAATGTTATTTAGGTATATGTACCGTGTATTTATCCATATTTAGTAAAAAGTTAGTAGTTAAAGTTTATGATATTGTTTTCTAAATTAATTGATTTTTTGTTTTCAGTTATAACTCTTACTCTCTATTTTTCTTCATTGATATTCTTTTTGTCATTTTAATTTTATTTTTTGGTTTATTGTTACTACACAATAAGTTTATTTTAATCAGATTTAATATTTTTCTGTTTTTGGTGGTTGTGGTGTTCGCCTGTAATTGTTCGTCACATATGCAATTTACTATGTTTTGATGTTTCATCTTTTTAATGTTCAATGTGATATGTGAACGTACGTTGGTGAACCTCTTAAATAAATAAATAAATAAATAAATAAATAAATAAAAAGCGCTTATTTTAACTTTACTAACAGACACTCCAATGTTATTTTTCTGTATAGAGGTACAGATAATTATACAGGATACACTACTTTTATCGATGGTAGTTTCTCGTAGGTAATGTGTTATAATTAGTAATGAATAATGTAAAACTATGAGTAGCAACTGGGGCGCAACAGTACTGCACAACTGGTGATTACTCTGGCCTTTCTGCACGGGTAACGCTTCGGGTAATCGATTTCTCAAATACCATGCCATATCTGAAGATATACACACATATATTACCGTTTATTTTCAACACTTCTTATTTTCATGCTGTGGCATCATTCGATGGTGTTAAGTAAAACTATTTTGCTTATTTTATTTTGTTCGAATACATTTTTAAATTCTTACACAGACATTTTTAATACTCACCAAACAATCTAGGATCTTTCCTAACACCCAAGTGCATTCACTCACACAATCTATAGGTAATAAGGATGGTGTAGCTATTTACTACGGTATGGGCCTTTTTCTGTACAAAACAACGACACTGACTTTGACTAAGCAAAATGATCTATAGAAACCGAAGAAAAGAACGCAGCCGTCCTGGAAGCACTGGCGAATTAAGAAGTATTAAGGGGCCAGTTTTAGTTTAACCGATCCCTAAAGTGAAGAAGAAGCTACCATCACCTCACCTTTCTCCAAAATAACTGCGTTCTCTAACCGTGTTTCTGGATATCAATAAACACGTGTTGCATATTACGAGTAGCAATACTCTATCATCGGACTAACGAGGCTCTCGGCCGTCTTCCGTTGTTCTGTTGTATACATTCAAGGCCCGCAAACTAAATTTTACATTTTGACAACATTATGAACAAAAGTATACGAACTCTCTCTTAAAGTCTATAAGACAAGAGCGTCTAGGTTTTACAGAGGAAATTCTTTCATTATCTACGGCTACACCTACGGCCTTTTACTGTCTTGTGATGTTTTACAAAATGACAGCAAATATTTCTCAGGACCAGAACTGTGTTAAACGCAATCTCGGATCGGAAAATGTAGTCCGATCGAAATCCGCAAAGTCACTACTAAAAGAAATCCTTTGTCTTATTCTGCTCTTCTCTTTAATTGGACAAGCACGTTTCCTTTCGTAACAGTATCTGAGGGCAGGTCACTTCCTTTACATTCTTCAAAGTTAGTCGACCTTGCCGAAATTTGTTATTCCACTCGCACACGGTTGACCTAGAAGGGCATAAATAAATGCCACTTAAAGTCGATGAGACGATTAAGCCTTGATAGTGGCCGGGCACTCGCTTTTAATTCAATACTAGAGCAATCCGAAATACAATCTCAATACTAGCCGAAATGAAATTATTCATAACATCATAAGGAACACGGCACACAAAAAAAAAATATATGTGAAGTCTACCAATCCACAGTGGGGTCGTTTGGTGTACTATGCCCTAATACTCTTTGAACAGAGGAGGCATTTACCCAGCAGTGGGACTCACGCAGGCTTTTCTTGATGTATATACTTTAAACGATTCGTCCGGTCCCGGGTCCCGTCATTTGTAAATCTCTCCTAATCTGTCATATGTAGACCGAATAGAAAATAATCTTTTACAAACAGGCCACGCAACAGCTTTCGCTGTTTCACGAACGGGCAGGC